AATCAACTACATATTATATTAATATAATAATATTTAATGATATAGCCATATATGTATAAGATAATAAGGTATGTAGCATTGTAGCCTGTAGGTAATATATAATATATACCCAATTATATATAATATGATATTCTAATAAGATACATATATATAATATATTTTTCAATTTTTTACAAAATATAATTTAATTAAAAATTTAAAAAATCGGATTGATCACTCTTTTGTATAGTAGGTAATTATAGTAGCCATTAATCATTAGGTTAAACATTTAAACGAATAGGTAAGGTTATTAGAAGATCATTTTGGGAAATTTTAGATAGATATACTTAATAGTTAACACTTCATAGTTCATAATTGTACTTTTAAGCTACAATCTACAATATATCTGTGTATTGATCCAATCATAATAGAGGACAGGGGCGTAGGTATAGATTATTAATGGGGGGGTCGACTTAAATTATTAGTAATAGGCTAACGTGAAAAAAAAACAAATGCAAATATAGGCTTAAAATACTTTTAATATTATTTTTTTAAACTAAACATAATACAATTAAATTTAAACGTTTCCTACGTTGTGTCAGCTTGTTCACAATTAATAAAGGATCGACAGTTACATCTCTATAAATATTTAGAAGAGTTAGTCCAGTTAGTCGTTCTTGACCAATGGTGTTTCGTAAACACGTCTTTAACCGCTTTAATGTAGAAAAGGAATGTTCCGCACTTGCAGTAGACACAGGAAGTGGCTAAAATTTTGAGAACATTATAAATGAGAGGAAAAAACTGTTTATCACACTTTTCCAATGTTTTAATTGCATTTAACTCATTCAAGGCATCACTTATTTTTTCCCACTTCTTGGTCCATAATTGATACTCACGTAACAGATTTTCAAGTTTTTCATTTACCAGGTACATTTTATGGATTTCTGTCAATTTGTTTTTAGCATCATTCTTATTTTTCATAAAATTTGGAAGTAATATCTGGAGATTCCCGATCTTTTCGTGATGGTTAGAAAATCTGGCTGCTAGTTCACTTATAGCACATGGTCAACTTGGTCAAGAAATGGATAGTAAATATTTAAAAAACTTGCTGCATTGACGTCGTCGCCGTGGCAAGATCACGAACGTCAACTATGTGTTGACATCGGCGATCGGCAGTGAACGTTTTGAATATAAATGACAAAACAAAAAACAATTTGAAATAAATAATTCTGATTGTATTTATATAATATAAATTATAAAAATTAATAAATTACCTGTTTTGGCTGGAAAATAGTGTTTAATTTAGCCCTGGAGTCTGAGACAGCTACAGCCTACAATGCGCGACAGCTCCAGGATAAATGGCCTGATGTAAATCGGTGATTATGTAATTTCAAACACAGTGATAAATTCTTAATACTCTTAATAAACTATTATTAGCAGTATTTCTGGTACGGCCGTATGCGTCGTGGGTCAAAATAAGACCATTGGCCGCCGTCGGGCACGAATTTTTGCAGTTAACATTTTATATATAGCTATTACAATATTGAATATAACATTAAATATCTATCTAGATAATCATTATTTTTGGTAACAGACGCGTACTTGTAAATTTGTATTTTACAAAAATATTCAACTTCGCTCTTGATTATAATTTAGCAATATATTATAATTTTTTTCTTATGTTAAGCTAAAAAGTAATTGTTGTTGTTTGTAGAATTTACATGCATTTTTTTCCTGATAATTATTATTATATATTAACCAATCGGGGTTTTTTAATGGGGGATCTGACCCCCCTTACCTACGCCCCTGATAGAGGATAGACGCATTTGAAATTTGTCTTGGGATCTGGACAAATGTATGACAATAGATCTTCATCTTACTTTTAATGGTACAATTTTTTATAACATTACATAAAAACAAACGTTTTTTGATATAATAATAGGTTATATGTATACCTATAAACAGGCCTTTTTAACAGCCGTAAGTCATAACAAAAGAAATAGGTGCCTAAAGTAGGTAAATAATTATAATATTACATATTTATAGCATTATTATTATAACTATATAGGTATAATAATTGTATTTGTTATTGACTATTGTATTACATTTTATTATTTTATAGACTTCTATTAAATTAAATTTTATTATATTTTAATATGTTATTTAAGTAAGTACTCAACATTTTTATAATATTAGGTATATGATTTTTTATGTAATTTCAATGTATTTTTCAATACACTTTTAACATATTTATACTTCAGTTTTGGTATATTTTCATTAATTTTTATCGGGACATTTTGTTCCTAGGGTGGGACTTTTTTTACCGGGACTTTTCTTTCCACGATTCAGCATTTCAGCCATGACATTGGTCATTGGTGATTGTACTCTAGTGTTTTATAGCCATGGTTAAAGCACAGAATAGGTTTAATATAGTCTGTGGTTAAGGTATTTAATATGAACATTGAAGTAAACAAATTCGAGAAATCATCCTACGATACATCACGGTTATAGTATAATTGTGGTAGGGTTGAAAGCATTTTATTACAGGGGGGTGGTAATATGATGTACGGACAATTGGGGCACTAAAACTTCGGCTGCTCTGGGGCCCAAAAATTGAAAAGGAAATAACACTGGGCACGATATAAAGCCGTGTCCAACGTATAAATGCGTCCGATGCGTCGAAAAACAAAACACCTTTGTATTTGTATTTTGCCACATCGGACGCAATCGGAACATGCTGGTCAGTGATCAGAATAGAAACTCGCCGGATTTACGTTCAGCTCAATATTTGTTTTCTTTCTCAGGCCCACACACAACATAGATAAAACACTTTCACCTAAAATCGTTTTTTATGATTTTTAATTAACCTTAGAGTAAAATATACTATCACAAAAATTATAGAGGATAATCTTTTTGAGAGTATGAAATATCGATTTTATATTTTATTATTATTTGACTTCGTATTCCACTTTCAAAATAAACAAAACAAATGTTGAAATGTAGTAAATTTAAATGATGTTCAAATTGTTTTGAGACAATGTTTAGTTAAACTGATGTCATACACTCCAAAAATTATTCTCTATCGTTTTTGTAACGGGTGATTTTACAATAAGATTACTTAAAAGTTAAAAGCCTTCTCTTACGAGAATGTCAGAGTAGGTACTATTATTTGTTATCTCTCTCTAACCCACAGTCCACACTCGACAAAGCAAATTTCCATTTATCTGAACCAATTTTGTGCTGTTACTTGTTAGCTTTAATATAACAGCAAATTGACCTACCTAATGTCAAACTTAAAGTTAAAAAATTCGAACAGTAAGAACAGACTGTGTTTTTACTTTATAAGTTGACGTTTTTACGGTAAGTACCTACTGAAAATGTCGGCGGTATAATGAGCATTTTAAATTGTAGTTTGTAATGTTTCACAAGGGTGATGGGTAGGTCGTAGGTGTTCATAGCTTGCATAGTAATAAATTTAAATCTATCAAAAAACCAACGTACAAACATCACAGATCACCGTCGACAGATAATGTTATGCTCTGAACTTTAAGCCCAATTCACATTAAATACTAATATTAAAGCAAACAACGCAAAATTGGTTCTGCTGAATGCCAATGTGCTATACTGCTATGACGCTATGTTGTGCACTTGTGTGTAATTTAGAGAGAGAAAAAAATATTAGTCAGACATCCTCTGAATCAATATTCCACGTTTTTAATGACAATTATAAATAGCTTACAGATAACCACAATATGTCTATTTAGTTTACATCAACTGCGTCATGAGGTTGTGATGTAGATTAAAAAAGTGTTGTAGATTAAAAAAAGAGTCCTATTAATTTAAAAAAATCAATGTTGTAAGTTTATAACTTGTGAATTATATTCTAAAAATTATTACCCATTATGAGAATATAAACGATTTTATTTGTTATAGACTATTTGAGGAGGGCCGAGAGGGGGGAGGGCTAAATGGGTAATTGAAGAGCTAAGGCCCCCACCCAAATTGCACTCGTGAAGGGGATCCTCCCGTTAAAAGTGGAACAATAGGCAAGACAAAAGGCAACATGGGTAATTGAATATATTATTGTATTAAACAATTCATAAAAAAAATTAAAATGTATCAAATATAATACATAATAATTAATAGCCAGTAACGACTAGTGGCCACCTCATCTGTTTAAATTGTACACGAGTTCACCGTTCCCTTCACCGTTCGGTAAATATAGCAATGTGTGTTCCGTATTCTGTAAATTGTAATTATTGTTTTTTCATTCGATTTTTTTTTCGACATTAACAGTTATGGAACAAGATACCGTGTTAACCAATAGACAATAGTGAAAAAAAGTGATAGCTCATGGAAGAAAAAAGTTTGTATTTTTTTCCCCTTGCAAAGTCTCGTATTTAAAATAATACTCTGCAAGGTAAAAGCAACTTGTCATTTCCCCGAAAGTTGCGACACGACGGTCAAATCGCCAAAGTTCTTTTCCCGAGCGGTGTCAATGGACCCGGCCCGGTGATGGACGCGAACCCGAACCACGATAAAATACGTCCGTCCGTCGTGATAACCGCAGTCGACGATCGTATGATAACCGGATCGCGAGCGACGACGACGTCCCTTTGAATTCTGTGCATCACACTTTCACACGTAAGTACTTACGATTTTTCCATCGACTTGCTGCGGATCGACGTGTAATACGGTCCGCCGACTGCATCTCGATCCGCCGCCGCCGGTTTATCGTTGACATAACGTAGACGTAGTGCCCAACAGTGTACGCCCTATTTTTCCTTTTATGTAATCCCACAGCAGCAGCTGTGTGTGTGTGTGCCAGTGAAAAAATGTATGTGCCACACATCAGCTGGTAACATCTGTCGATAAAGCATATTATTTCCTCTGAGCACTGCTCAAAACATTGTCCCGGTCCAATACACGTTGGGTAATATCATCTAGGCATACCCAGAAGAAAACTGATCAGATTTGTACTAATGGAATTGTATAATTTTCATGTTGTGTTTAGTGGTGTGATGGCACAAGAAACTCGCACCGATGATGGCATGTACATAAAACAAGAGACCTCTAGTGTGATACATAATGTTTGTTTCGTTTGTGGAAATTCTGGACACCCCGAGCAGTATTGGTTACGTGTACGACCGCCATCCACTGGACCATCTGATGGCACTCCACATTTTCCATTTTTGGAAATGCATGAACCTCCACAAGGTTATAGACAACCATTGAACGCCAAGCAGGATAGTGCGGTATGTAACTGTATGGATTTTATTTAATACACAATGCTCATTATAAAACATTTTGCTATTCACTGTAAATAAAAGAATAATATTATCTTAATGAATACTACCCCAGCTCAATATTTTTAATGAAATACTTTTACATTAAAATATCCCACCTACCATCTCATAGAAAGGCCAGATATTTAAACTACAAGTAGATAATTAATGTCTGGCCTACTGGTATCTTACCTTTAAAATTCAAAATTTGAGTTAATATTGTTGTTATTAATGACTAAAGCTATTCCATTATCTATTAGTCAGTGACATATCAATAACAAAACAATGGTTTTCGGCTTATTCAACTTCATATTTTATGTAGGTTAAGACACGGCATACCTATTGTTTTAACATAGATATTAGCTGGGCTTATATTTTTGCTATTAAAGTATTATTAATTATTTAATTATAATATCATACTTTGTTCCAAAATAGAATATCCACTTTCTGCGCCTTTCAACTGACTGTTATGGCAGCGCCAAGATCTAATAGTGCAAAGCTGACATTTCTTGAAAACAGCAGTACAAACTTTTTAAACTTATTATCACAGCTAGGCAACACCTTATGAATGGTGGGAGATGTTTAGTACTGGAATACGATTGGTTAGGATAGTATCCTCTTTTTGAATGAAGTATAGGCGAGCCATGGTACCTATCAAATAGTTTAAAAATATAAATATATGGAGATCTGTTATGATGTTAATGTTAGACGAGTTTTGGTCCGCCGCCGGGTGCATTCTCTCCTGGCCCAGAGTATAGCTTTGACAAAAAATAAGAATGACAAAATTAGTTTCAGGAAAAATTGTTAAAATTGATGGGTAATGTTTTAAAAAAAAAAATACTTTAACAGTAGAATATGTTAGAGGTATTTGTCTTGAAACTAATGAATATAAATGGTAATTGAGTTGAATAGTAGTCAAAATAACAGAATTGTAAATTGAATCTAGAAACATCAGACAGAAGTTGGGATAACTGTAATGTACCAACCAAACAAGAAAAAAATATTGTATAGGTACCTAAGTATTTATAAAAATGTAGGTGTTTGTGTATAATTTTTAAACTCATTGACTAGATGTATGAATATAACTGTATAGGTACATAGAAATTATAAAGTACCTATGTTAAATTTAAAAAAAATTATTTTAAAATTTATTGTATAAATTATATTTATAATAATTGTGTTAAATATAAGTTAATAAACAATTAATTCTAAATTTTCGTAGTATAATAAATTGATAGTAACAAATATAATTATTAATAAATAACATTCAAAGACTAGTGGATCAATGGGTCTGAGATAGCACCACTACCAATAAAGTCTTAACAGTATTTTTTTTTACACTATAAATTATAATAAATAGAAATACTTCAACAATAATATTATTTTAAGAGTGGAATAGCTTGTCATTTAAAAACTGTTATAATATATTTTGATAATTTGATAATTCTGTTTAGATAACAAGTTGTTACTTGTGTTATTCACTGTTAATCGGTCAATGGGATCGATATGAAAGAGAAAATGTTCCAGCTAGGCAACGCGTCTACTGGTTAAAACGCTGTGATAATGGTCCATTTACTGGCGCTGATCTCTCTACACAAGGAGAATATGCATGCCAACTATTGGGGCTCAGTGTTGACTACACTAATAGGTTATTAATAATTATATATTATTTTATTATAATTAATTTATTATATAATATACATTTCTTTAACAATTGTATGGATATCTTATTCTAGTCATAAGGATACAATCATGTCATCTGCAATGTCTCAAATTACTGGAGAAGATAGTCGAGGTGCTAGAATACCACTTACATCAATTTCTACATCATCTGATCACATAGCACAATTAAATGGTTCAAATCCAATTAATACAAATACACCTCATTCTAATCCAGGTGAATAAGTTTTTAATAACTATACAATTCTAAATATTAACCATAAATTATTTTTGTTATCTATATTTTTAATAGGAAGTTATAGTAGTAGTAGTGGTACAGATATTTTAGATCTATCTATGCCTGATAAAAATTCTTCTACTGAAGTTTGCTATGTGTGTGGAGAAGAATTCCGACGAGGTTCCTTATCACATGTGTCGGCTAAACCACCAGCTAATGTTAATCAAACTGAGCAACCGTTTTTTCCTAGCCTTATGCTTCATCCTAGACCTCCTCGTTCTAGGCCAATGGATAGTACAGGGCGTGTACAAACATGTACTGCTTGTCATGCTCACTTATTAAACCAATGGCAGGTATGGTACCTTATTGACTATAATATATTAATTTTGTACTTGACAAGACATTTCAATTTTGTTTTTTCTATGAACATGATTTATTTTGCAGGTCTATACGTCAAAAGGCATTCCACACGGTGAAAGGAATTATATTTTACGTAAGCGATTAATTCCATCTATAGATACATCTACATTTATTTGTTTTACTTGTTCACTCGAATACCCTTCGTCTTCTATGAGGTGAGATATTTACTATTAACGATAGGCAATAATTCATTGTTTTATTTTTATTTAATATAAATATTTTTACTTACTAAAATTATCTATGTTTGTTTAAAGGTCTTTATATTGTTATCCAAATAATAATCGTGAACCTTATTATCCGTCATTGACGAAAATAAAAACTCCACCTGGTGCACTTCCTATATCTTCTCAAGGCACTGTTCAAGTATGCATTTATAATGTTATTATCAACATATCATGTTTTTATTGAAGTTATTTCTAAACTTAAAATTAATTTTTCTTTAGGTTTGTGCAGTTTGTTTTAAATCTGTACCTCAAAAACACCAAGTTACTATGTTAATGGATTTACCTGTTGTTCCATCACCTTCTCCATCTCTTCAATCAATTAAATCACCAGATATTCGTTTTCGGCCTTATGATATAACAAAACCAAATAAATCACAAACACCAACACCGTCTGAAGCACATCGTAGTACTCATGCAGTCAGTAGTTTATATTTTTCATTATCAACCCCTCTAAGACTTAGTTTTATAAATTATAATAATAATAATACATTTTTAAATTCAATTTATAGGTTAGTTCTGATGTATCTGGTAATGGAGGACCAGTTCGTATCATGAGTGGTAATAACTTTCGTTGTTATGTATGCTATGAAATGCAACATCGTTCACAATTAGAATGGTTATGTACAAATGCAGAAGGAATGAATTCACATGCTATGCATTTTCCTTGTCTTACACAATTATCAAGGTAATTTTTTAATTATTTACTAAGACTTATTTACAATCATAAACTTCAACTAGAATTATATTTATATATTATATAAGTAATAATAACTAGGTAATACATTGAACTAAAAAATTATGTTCTTATGTGAAAATATTTCAATATTATTGATAAGTGTATTTTTTGAATTCTAGTCATCTAAAAAAATATAGTTTAAAACTCAAAATATAACAACTATTTTATTTATTTACCATGTATTTATAACACCTATACATTTTTTTAAGAATGATTATGGTGACCTATATTGGTTATGACTATTCTTATACTTATAGTAAGTATAATAGTATTATTAATACAATATAATTTTATTGAGTTCATATGCAACAAAACACAGTATAATTTCCCAAAATTCTAAAACAATATCTCAATTTTAGCAAACTTCTATTAAAAAAATATAATTAACTGATCATAATATCTAAATTTTCTATTATTTAGTAATATTTTTTATGTAAATATTATTTAAAATATGTATTAAGATAATTTAATATTATTTGAAAAAAAATGATTAAGTTTTTTTAAAATAATTGACTTTTTATGTTGTATTGTAAATTGTAATTTAGATCATCGGAAAATTATTGCGTTGAATCCCAAGGTAGAGTATTAGCCTGTTCTAAGTGTGTTCCACAGCTATCTGCCCAATGGAATTCTATGGAAGCCAACAGGGTCCCTTTAGAACATAGGAGGTATGATAAAAAAAAAAAATTATTTTTGTGACGTATTTAATTTTTATTTAAAATTATTTTAGGTATAACGTTCCTAGTTTGAATGTTAATGGTTTTAATACTCAACAAATATCTAGTCGAAATGACGTTTCGTCCATTTATTGTTTCTTATGCAACCACCACTCAGACTTAACTTATGCCAGAGTTTTATACAGCCGTCCACAAGTAATTTTTCCTCTACATTTTATAATAACTAATTATTTATTATTAATTTAACATGATTTTAGGGTCGAAATGCACCATATTTCCCATATCTTTTAAAACACGAAACTACACAAGGTGCAGAACAACTGCGTGAAGATGGATCTGCATTAGTGTGTACATTTTGTTATCATGCTTATGTTGCCCAATGGCGAGATTATGAATCAAGTTCCGTACCTATTCCACAGCATGAAAGAAGTTATAACCATAAGGAATATGTATGTTATGTTTGTACACAGAGAGCTGGACGACGACAAATTCGATCACTTGCAGTTAATGTAATATTTTATTTAACTTTTATAATTATTTGGTTTATTGTATAATAATTTACATTTTCAACTTTAGGACTATCCTTTTCTACGCTATCATCGTCAAATTGACCAAGCATTATTATTAGAAAATGGAGAGTATGCAGTTGTTTGTGTTGAATGCTATGAAACGATACATATACAAGCTATTGAATATGAACGATTTGGTATGCCATTGGATAAACAAAGTCTTCAAAATACTAATACAGTTAAAACGGTAAAGCAAGAAGACAATTATAGCCAACGAGTACCACAAAATATGACAGTTGAAAAAGCACAGGTAAAAAACACTTTGTAATTAACAATATATAAGTTTAAAAAAAGTTAAAATTTAATCAAATATTGGTTAAAATAAAAATATAAATGGTTGCGTGATCACAGTTTCATCAATAACTTAAAACAATATCATACATTTTTGTTTGAACTTTAAAATATAATGTTATTATTTTTATGGTACTGCAATCCTAATTATGTGACAAATATTTATTTGTTTAATGTATACTCTTTGATTTTGTGTACACATTCTTATATAATATTACTATTGGATATATTTAATATCAATTGAAAATTGTAATATTAAGAGGACGTGGCACTCACATGTGTTGTCTTCATCTTACAGTGGCTTAAAATAGTACATTTTAAGCTCAGCAGATCACATTTAGATCTGTTAGCTTAAAAGTTAAAGTAAATCAACCTCTTATAAAATATAAAGGTAAAATTTTTATCTAGGCAATCTCAGTGAGTGAATGTCATAAGCTTTTCATTATATTTTAATTTTAAAGCCAGTTTTGAGTATTTTAAAATTGTAAATTAAATCTATATCTTATAATACTATAATAACTCGCTTTAAAATTAAAATATAACAAAAATCCTCTGAGATTTCCTAGATAATAAAATTACTTTTAAATTTTATAAGAAGTCAATTTTCTCTAGTTAAAAAACTAATGGATCAAAATGGGATCTGCTGAGCTTAAAATTTGCTATGTTACGCACTTGTAAGACGGAGACAACACATGCGGCGACACTTCCTCTTAAATATCAATTTTTATATTAAAGTTGCCTATCCAAAATGTAAAGTTAACTTTTATTTTAACTGTGGGATTAAAATTAAAATTTTTATATTTAATCTACTGCAAAATATTTAAATAATCTGTGAGCCCTTTTTTGTATAACTTTTTAAATGTTTCACTGTTTTCTTTAGGTTAATCATACTAATAAAGTTCAACGAAAAAACGTTAAACAACAACAACAACAAACTGCTGTTGACAGTACAAAACGGTCAATGTTAAATTCTAATCAATACAACTCCAAAACAGATGCAGGTATGTCAATAGTCATTACTCTTTAGTTAGTAGTTACTTTGCTTATTTGATTCTAGCTGTAACCAAACTTCGCCCGGCAATCTGGTGTATCTCGGTTTTAGTTTACCTCTGTTTATGAGCAAATTGTGATCTGTGTACCTCGCTCTTTGCACTCATTCAACCAAGATGGAATATATAGTATTCTGTACATTTTTTATGTGATTCAAGCTATACCCTAAACTTACCTGATATCTTTAAGAACAATATGAAATTTTTGTGAAAATAGGTCGAGTAATTTTTGAGTATAAGATATAAGAATATGAAAATCATATATTATATAAACAAAAAATATTAAACTCTTGTGAAAAAATACGAAATTAATTTCTGAGCCTGAGCCATTCTAAGTAACCCATAGGCCATATGGGTTGAAAAACAGCTAAGTATCGTCTCCAGGAATATGTGTACAAAAGTTGGTGCCAATTGGTTCAGTAGTTTCCAAATCTATAAGCCTCTTCCAAACATTCATTCATAAAACATATTTTCATTTTTATGAACGATATTTAGATGAGAAGTACCTACTTGTTACATAGGCTAAATAAAATATTTTGTTTGATACATTTAGGGATCAAGATTATGGAATTTCTCCTGTTAAACATTTTTGTTACACAATCTATAAAATATTTGTTTACAATAAGTGCAATTGCTGTATAGATGGGTGTTATGTTGTTTGTAAATAGGCGAAGAGGCATTCATTTTTGTGGCACTTCAGCTCTGTTGGACATTTAATAATATATTTTAGTATTTTACATGGTTTATCATAAAATAATCAGGTTATAATAATTTTGTTGATCAGTTTAATATTTAGTGAAAAATGAATGTCAGTATATTAAAATATTTTATTAAATCATATACCAGTGTACCCTGTGGGTATGTCATAAATCAATTTAATTTTTATCAACTAGGTAATACTAATATTAATTTTCACAGTCCAAGTTCCCTTATTATGGACTTATATTTTTCTATATATATTATATGTTTTATTATGCATGCGAATATTAAATTAAAATTGCTAAAAAAATATTCTCTAATATTCTAATGTCTAACGTATTTATTGTGTAGCTAAATTTTAATTTATTTGTAATTTTTAACAAAAATGATTGATAAAGTAAAAAGATAAAAGGTTTATTATTATTAAATATTTATTTATCAATAATTATTAATATTAGGGCTCAGAAGTTAGGTTAGGTTATGTTAAGTTATATTTCTTTTACATAGTTTTAAGTTGTTATAAAAAAACATTTTTGTACAAACATTTTGAAGTTGTTATTCTTTTAAATTGCAACATATATAATTTTGAATTAATATTCCTGAGAAGAATATTATTTGTAGATATTTTGTTCCATAAAAATCTTATTTCGATAAGTAGTTTATTAATTACAACTGATAATTTATAAGTATTCAAATGTTTGATTTTCAGAGTAATGTACAAATATTTTGCTATACCACTCCACTCCACTCATTTTAATTTAAAATACTTACCAGTTATAACTTATAAATTACCCATCTAAAATTCAATTTTAATACATTGGAGTACTCCAAAATTTATTATGCTTTTGTATAAGGAAATAAAACTACTTATGATTAAAATAGTATGAAAATAAAACATTTTAATATTAAAAAATATAGGTGCTTTTTAGGGTTCCGTACGGTAAGATGGGACCTTATTACTAAGGCTCCGCTGTCCGTTAGTCTGTCACCAGGCTATATCTCATGAACCATTAAAGTTAGAAAGTTGAAATTTTCACAGATTATATATTTCTGTTGCCGCTATAACAACAAATCCTAGAATATATAATATAAGCAGTGTTGCCAACATGTTTATAGCTAATGATGGTACGGAACCCTTCGTGCGGGAGTCCGACTCGCACTTGGCCAGTTTTTTAATGACTTAATATTATGGAAAAAAAATATTTTAAAAAACATCAATAGAATGAATTTAATATTTTTTATACATATTATGTTAATATATTATTTGGGTTTGATATAAACAGTATGAAAATGCTGTCTTTTTATAGTACTATATACCCACTCAAACTGGTTTGATTATTATACAATAACCAGTTGACCACTGTCCAGTGATGGCCTTTAACCTTTAAAAGGTGAACTTATTATTCTATTATTTATTTTCTGGAATATCCAGTTTTAAAAAGACCCTCTTTTATGCTGGACACCCATGGTTTTCTATGTGTAAAATATATTTGCAGAAGCCGAAATATGACTAATAATTTTTAAAGAAATAGAATATTTAAAAGCTTTAAATGTAATAGTTAATTAAATATAAATAATCAATGACAATACGTAATATAATATGAGAATATAATATAATATTTATTTGATAGAAGTGGCTATTTTTATACATAATACTATACCTATTGGCTATTACTATTAATATTAATAATAATTAAGACAATAAATTCATAGATTATGATAAACTAAAAGAATACTTTTATTTTTAATGTAAATGTTGTATTAGTTTACTCTACTACCTATGTCAAAGAGCTATTATTAAATTCGCCGAAATTTGACATAATTTTTTTAATTCTCATAAACTCATAAATAATAGTAAACCAAGTTCCGCTCAGAAACTTTAATTCATATTTGTTTTCTTGAAATATGTATTTTTGTATTTACTTTAAGGCAGTGAATCTTTTGAATAGCCCAATGAGTGTTTTGAAATAAAAAAACACGCATGGTAGAACCAATAATCATAAATCAATAATCTACAATCTGTAAAAAATATTAGGTTATAATATGACAACCAGACAACTTCCGTAGATAATATAATTGAATAAAATTACAAAATACACGCGGTAGCGTTACCAGGGTATGAAGGGATGACAGTTTTCCCTGAAAAGTAGGGAAAATTTAAAAATGATTTCTGTGTTCTGTGGACGTTTTATTTCCTAAGATGTAACCATGTATTAAAATTGTAATTTGTTTGAAGAGTGCTGAAAAAGTATAATATGTTATATTTATATACCCACGGGATCTGGATACCAAACTTATGGGGGATCCTAAAGCCATCACAAACAAATTATCAGCCCTCAACCAGTAAAAAAAAATTATGGCTACGCTAATGAATACATGAGTATAAACAATTTTAATATTATAAAATATTTTATTTCAAGTTCATTAACATCCAATTACGTACCTTAAAATAAAATATTTCCTACTAGTAAATTTGTACAGACATGGAATTTATTTCAAAAATAATTTTTACGATTTAGCTTTTGTACGCCGTCCCCCTTTTCAGTTTGTTTAGAGATCTGCGGTGTTTAAGGGTGCTTATTGGATATTCATCCCCTATTGCTAACCAGTGTTGTTTTTTTGTTCTCGTACGTTCGCTCCACTGTATTATTTTCATCGTTGTGTGCGTCCCGTATGCGTCGCTAGGCACCACTCGCCAGTTAACGCAGTATCCGCAGCTCAACAACACGTGTAATGCTACTCATACTATATAGTGATCTATAAAAAATACCACAACTATATAAATATAATAGTGACTTCACGTTGTTCTTTACCGTTAAACTTCTGGGACGTTTGTTCTATTTATAAATAATTATCATTACACCGAGCCGGGTTTTTTATTTACTATTTTGTATAATGCGTTTCAATCACGATACAAGTAATGTCCCTTCGGACAACTTTATTCCCGATATAAACAATATTCCTATGGCTGGATACGGAGCGTCTGGTTCCGTGCCTCAATCTCCGAGTATTGTAAATAATATGATGTATTACCAAGGTATTTATCATCTAATTTAGTAACAACACTTGCATTACGAACCGTATTAAAAGACTACACTTAGATCATAATTTGTTTCTCTCTTACATAAAAAAATAAGTAAAAACCATTGATATCATTTTTATTTAACAAATTTGTATTATTCAATAAGTACTACCAGTTAGTCAACAAATATGTTATGTATTTACTAAAGTTTATCAGGTCCTTCGAGAGTGACGCGTTAGTACATTATTGTATTTTTGTATTGCGTCGGATATCATGTTAAGCGTAAGGAAAAAACTACGGATGCATTGAAAAATCTAATAGTGTACATAATTAATATACTATAATATTATGGCAACTTGTTTTAAGATCAAATTTCGGTTGTTGTAATTAAAAAAAATATATAATCTAATAAACCTAACATTTATTTATTATTTAGATAATAATAACCAATTATTTATACACTTTTAAAGTAATACGAACCTTTTTTTCTTTTTAAAGAAATATAATTTTTTTAATTCAATGGTATTATTCCTATCGTAATTTTTATTACTAGATAACAGGTTTATACATGTTATTATTAAATATTATAAATATTATAAAAAAAATATACGATCTGTATAATTATTAATATCACTCACTAACAATATAGGCTAAATTTAGACGATAAATGTAAACAAAAATTATACAATATTTGATGGAAAAAACCCTATTGGTTATTGAAGATACTTTCCATATAAATACTATTCAAAGTTTTGACTATATCAATCTAAAAAGTCGTTTGTGCCTTAATTTTTTTTAGTATATTAATATGTAACATAGTGTATAAGATTTAAGTCTGAATTAAGGTGATCTACATAAAAATATGATGTTATATTTTTATATTTTCTTTAATATAATTTGTAACTTCAGTGCTTTAGGTACTTGGATTTGATATTTTAATTCAATAATATTATAATAGTAAATGTAAAATAATTTTTAAATATCATAAATTAAGTAAAAATTATAGGTAATATGTATTATATAAACATAAATAATTACATTTTTGTTCAAAACTGCGCATGGGCAATTCAGCTACTAATAAAATATACGTATATAATATATAAATATGTGAATATTATGGCGTTTTGAATTTCTGATGTGTGTTTGTCAGGAAGTCGGCGGTCTCGTTTACACTTGTATTAAAGGGGGAGGTAAAGCCCAGATGTTACATTGCCAAACATAAACATCCATATCGCCCTTTAAGTGATAATCGTCCTATTCGTCGTCCCTTCTATTTATAAAGAGGGTTCCCGAATTTATCGTGTGATATGACTCATCAGTCATTTTTTGTATTGTCTTATATTAAAAAATAAAACCATAACACGCTACTCGATATTTTTTCCCTACTATGAAAATCTATAAATCATAAAAATATTTTTATTAATAATTGACAATGACAACGAAAACATTACGAAAAATCGGTCAGAAACAAAAAAATCTTGTATCCAACCCAAAATTCATGGTTATTAGTTTATTATTCTGTACTAAACATTAGTTTACTACGAGGACGTACGTTGTCTAAGTGTGTAATAATAAATAGATATTTATATGGCACTGCAGTTTCTATAGTCGCTTATATTTTTTACAAACATTTCACTCTAAATTATCATGCAAAACAAAATTTTAGAATTTTTAATTATTACAAAGTTACCTATAAATTGTTTATTGCAATCGAAAATTACTGCAGTCTGTCAACACAACCCACCCATATGTATACACTATACATATCTACATGCTATTTACAGGATGATTTACCAAGCATTCTCGCCCCCATTTTTTATTTTAATAATGAATTTATTCAAATTCTAATTTTTGGAATTTTTAAGACAATTTTTTCAAATTCTTAATTTTCTTTTCTACTCAAGAAGTGTCTTGTAGTGATACAAACTTCTGTTTTGAAACCCACCTATTTGTTCTTATTTTAAAAACAGAAGTTTTTGTCTCCACAGGACTCTCCTTAAATACTACAAAAAACCTCGAGACTTTGAAAATATGGTCATTAAGTACCTATATATAAACATTTTAAGGTTAAGAATTTTAAATAACTGCATTAATGCATTATTGAAGAAAAAACGATGAAGGCATGCTTGTTGAATCCCCCCCTGTATAATATTTTATACTTCATATAAATTAGTATATTTTTTACTCTCCTCCAAATCTATTAAATTAATTCAAATGGGTTTTTTACTGTTGGATAGCTCAGTTCTTTGGCAAGGTTCAAATCGTATTTTCATAGACCCATCTACTACTATCTAGCTGTTTTTACCTGGGACAATATTAGTCGACATTTTTGGTATTTTTATTATTTTCTTGCTGCCGTGACCTTTAATACATTATACAGGCATAATATTATAATCAATTTATAAACCGATTAGGGTTTTCTCCTCATTTATCAGTTTTTTTTCTGACTTGTTTAACACAGTATTGGCTTTTATTAATTTAAAAAATGTTTACCTATTTTAATATTATTAGCTTCTTTTGTAAAGCAGACATACATATTCTCTTTTTAACTGATAGTGAATGTTGCATTACGTTTGAATACAATTAATCATTATTTATTAGGTACCTTTTTTTCATTTTGAACAAATATTGTTCGCTTTATAAATTCTTCCTTATATTTTCAGTTTTCATTCTTAAATCATAAAACTGTTGAAACTTTAGTATATAAAAAATACTTAATAATACCTTTATTATATTTTATATAAATTGTTATATTTTATTCTTAATTATGTATAATATTATAGAATATATTTTAATGTAAATAACATTAAGAACTGTTAATATTTTTTTTTAGGTTTAGTTAAACCTCAACCAACAAGTTCAGGTTCAAAACGTACTTTAATGCCAAATCTTATTGGACAAGCTCCACCGCCACCATCTCCTGGTGGTAGATCTTTTGCTGCGGCTCTTAGAAATTTAGCTAAACAAGCCGGACCCCCTTCTACTCATTCCAATGGTAAGATATATATATGGTATATTATATAAGTTAATATTATAGAAACTTTAAATGTATTTAATTTTTTTATGTAGATAAAGAAGGAATTGAGTCGCAAGATAAACACCAACAAGAATCTTTGAAAGGACGAATCGCACTACCAGGCTGTAATAAAACACAACCAGATAATGTAAGTATCATGTAAAATAACATTGAGATATAATTTCAGGGTGTCATATTTTTACGCCATAGTCAACCTTTACGTTTACCGCCAGAATAGTAATGTATTTGTTCATAATTGGTAAATTCCCCATTAATTATAAAGTTGATAAAAATATTAATCAATTTTAAATTTTGGGTGGTTTCATGTGCAATAAAGAACTTTACATTGGTGATATACTACTAAAATCTGTACTTTTAGTGAAAGTTTTTACTAAACAAAATCATAGAAATACTATAATAATGTGGCTGAAAATGGAAATGCATATTACTGTACTGGTTGTAAACCGAAAAGTTGATTTTGATGGGAAAGTGAACTATCTGTTAAAAGTCTTATTATTTTCTTAATTGTGACTATAGGTACAAATTTCACTATACATTATCAGTATTTATCAACAATTTTTTTTTGATTGAATGGAGGTTGTGACCGGTCTTGGGAGAGATGTCGAGAATTAAATAATAAATTACACATAGTACAGGATTTGAACCTGTGACTCATGCACCGGACTGCTGAATGCGTAACACTGAGGGACCCCGGTCTTATCATATTAACCTCCATATTCTCTCATTTGGGTCAGAGTGGCAGTGTGTACGGTTGAGGAGAGAATGCAGGCCCTAGGGTTCATCCATCATAGCCCTCCCCCCTCAAACTGAACATGTGGGTACCATCGGTGCAGTAGGTACTCTAGTCGCCATCTTACCCTAACAAATGACGCTGGTCAGAGTAGCAGTGTGCACTGTGTACGGTTTAAGAGAGAATGCAGGCGCGCTAGGTCAGTTGCGAAAGGAGATATATCAAAATGTGTGTAAAAATATATTTAGATAGAAAATAGAGTCGAGTCTTAAAAATGTGTAGTAAAAGGCCCATAATGATAGGATTTTTTATATAGAAAAAAAGAGATTAGAGAATCAACTATTATTTAAAAAGTTTAAAACCGTTATATATAATTAATTATACATTTTTATCTCAAGGAATCAAAATCAACTGGTCTAAATACTGAGCCTCGTAGTGGTTTTCAACCTTATAAGCCTGATGAACAAAGAACTATGGTGCCTACATCAGCATCTGCTCCTCCTCCTCATTTTGCCGTTGACCCTGCCTCATACTCACCTTACCATCCTGCAAATCTTTATTCCCCACATTTTCAACATGCTTTTCGGTAAGTTATTATTTGTATCAATTAAGTTATACTTATTAATTTACTTTTTATTTGTTATTTTAGGATTGAAGAACAAATGTACCTTGAAAGATGTGGAGTACCTTTGTTTCCTACTAATCCATATCATCCTCATAATAGTCCTCATCCTTCAGCTCTATATGGACTTCATCATTTACAGTCACCGTTAGTCATGTCCCCAAATATCGTAGATAGAATGAAAATGGAAGAAGACAGGCTACAAAGAGATAGAGATATGCAAGAGCGAGAAAAAAGAGACAAGGCAAAGCAACAACAGCGAGTTAAAAATGTTCATACTATGGCAGCTGACCTTTCAGGTAAAAATTAAATTTGACTAAAAATTGTGGTATACATTTCAGTATTTGACTTTACAAAATTACTTTTTGTTCTATCTAGGAAGGCGTCATTAATGTCTATAATTAGTCATACAACTAAACCTCAATTTGTATGTCTTTCGTGTACATCATAATGCCAAATTCATCAAAAATAACAAAGTTACAGTTACCAAAATCAAACCACCTATGTAATCAAGTGATACCCAATCATAATAACAACAAATCAACAAGCTTTGAAACTGTTCAATTATGTTTCTTCTTATACTCCTGAAGTCCAAACTTCTAATTCATCCAATGCGATGTGACAACATATTTCAAATTCAACAAGTCCTGAACTAAAATACATTTGATAATACTCTACAAGCAACAGCAGTGGGATCTTAACAAAACAAAATACTTATTTTTTCTCAATATGCCAGGAACGACATAGACCAACAAGCACAAGGTATTCATCATTTAATTATGAGATTAATGTAACAGTTTTAATTACTCCTGTTTCTAGTCTAATTCTGATAGTTTCATTTTATTATAATTTGTTGAAAAAAATCCATCCAGAAACATTAATTTAATGTATTAAGTAGTAATAAATTTAATAAAATTGTTTTATGGCCATTTTTGTAATATTTAAATTTAATAATTAAAAAATAACCATTTGAAATTTCACTGTAACTGTGTACTGACTGGCAGAAATCAAATTCATATTACCCAATAAGATATGGGTGTATTTTATATTAACTGTTAAAAGATTATAAATTGAAATTTCAATGCCCTAAAAATATGATATTTTTGAGCTAAAAACTCTAAAAAAAATACACTTAGAATTTGTTTTTCGATAATAGAAATTTTATATTTAAAAAGTTTAATATAAATATTATGCCTTGTAGTTTTATGATTCAAATTGAACAATAAATTTAAAATAATTTTTTTTTTATTCCAAGAAATTGGACAAAAATGACTAGGACATAAAAAATTATGTTGGTAAAGTATTTACCTATTTACCATATTTTTTAGTTTGGGAAGCAACATTGATTTGCCCGAGTCTGGCATTTCAAAAAATTTTATTTGAGTCCTTGTAAAAACATGGATTAAATCAAATATATCAATGCTATTAAGAGCACCCTACACGGGCGACACGTCTTGTGTGTGTTGCCTCTGTCATACAAGTGCCTATATAGCAAATATACGGTGAGCAGATCACGTTTGGTTCTATAAGTTTAAAAATTAGATTGAATCGATCTATTATGACGCTTTATATGACCCTATATTAGAACATTATCTGTGTTTGGATGTGGGCTTTTTTATGATAGTTCAATTTTTTAGCAAGTTATATGTAAATAATATAGTGTACATTACAAATGCTCATAACTCACTTTAAAATTGAACTATCTTAAAAAAAAAAAATCACGTACAAACACTGATAACACGATGTTCTTACCATCAAGTTTCATAATAGGTCTATTCACTCTAATTTTTAAACTAACAGAGCTAAACGTTATCTGCTGGTCATACATTTGCTGTATAGGCACTTGTAAGGCGGAGGCAACACATAGGTGTGGGCGTCGCGTCCACTTAATACTAATTTATTTTGTGTTCTTACCTATTTGTTTTGATATGTTAAGTTTAAATAAAACAAACATATGTCATTAATTAATTAATAAATTCTAAATATTTTTATTCTTAACATTTCAGATTCCTAGTTGAATAAATGTACGACCTTTGCAATTGACAGAGCAAACCAAGAATAAAATGATTGGTGTTAAACAATTAAAATATCAACTAAAAATACTGAATATGAAGAAAATGGCTTACCAACCGGAACAATTTTATTCTCTCAGAAACCTTAACTTTTTGTAAAGTATTACAGTAATACTTATAAAAAACCTGTTCTTTTCAGTTAAATCATGCCACAAATAATTCCACTGAATATTCCCAATTGCTCAATAAGAATCCTTTGTTTTTTCTATGTATTTGGCATTTGAACAAATCGAATGACATAATCACATCACCCCTATTTGATTACATTTTGTTTTACCATTTTTTTTTTTTTTTTTATGATTTAGAGAATATTTTTTTTTTATACTAATAGTATCTATACAAATTGACTACTTATTTATTAAATTAAGTAATATTATTTATATCTGTACCAATTATGTACTATTTATATATATATCATAGATGTATATATGTATGTATATGCATAGTTATATGTTATTGTGTTATGATTTTACTAGGTACAATAATATTACATAACAGCCAAGTTACAAAGTACCGTGTAACAATAATAATGATTTTTTTCTGTACATGCATTATATGATCGCCAAGTGAGATCTACAATATTGTTATGTGATATATACTAACTTAAGATATTATTTTCTTGTATAATTGGTTGCTAGCTATTTAAGAGTCATTGTTCAATGATAACGAGCTGATAATTAATGGCTGGCATCTCAATAGTCCCTTTCCCTCACCAATTTTTACATTATTTTTTTTTTATTATTATTATTATTATTATTATTATTATATGTATTTTTTTTTTTATAATTATACATTATATGTAATATCAGACACAATATTGAGAACAACCAATTATGTCCTGTGATTTTTAAGCCTGGTATACTAATCCTTTAATTTTTCCCAAATAATAATAAATAGTTCAATACTTTTAATTTAAATTACGTTCTTCTAATTAATAGTTCCTACCTACCCAAATTTAAGCTATGTTTTTTATAATAATGCTTAAAGTGTCCTGTTTCAGTATTATATTATTTTTTCTACTATAACTTATTCATGAACAAATTTTATTTTCTAAATGAATTTTGTTACCTTATAACTATGTAAAATCATGATGTTCATTGATTTTCATATTATGACTGAACGCCAAGGCACATAATAAATATATACATATTATATAATAATACCCGCACTCACTCCTACTAGAATAATATAATGATTTTAGTTAATATAACATAAATGGTTTATATATTGATCTTTTTTATTGCTTAAAAATTATTTTGTAAATAAATTATTGAATAAAAAAAAAGATTAAAATGAACAGGTTGTATTTTTTTTTTTTTTCATTCCGCCTTCAATTTTTGAGAGACATTTGTCGGAAGGAACATAAGACACCAAAATGACGTCCAAACGGGCAGCAATAACAGTACACCAACTGAAAATGCCCAATTGCCATAAATCATATTGTCGATTGTTGACAATACCATCCATTGGCTCGATGCCTCAAGTATTTTGGTCAAAAAATCAGATATCGGCAGTTCAGGATATGTCGTGAAAGTGATGTATGCAGTAATCCAAAACAGTGAGCACATGGGGTGCACAATTAACCAAAGCAGTTTTACTATTATACTGAAACAGAAATTAAATAATATTAAAAAATTTAGAGATAAGTCCAATGGTATCTATCAATTACATACCGGTTTTGGCTAGATTTGATGCAAACCGCCGGTAAAACATACACAAGAGCCGTCAAATACCCGAGTGAAAAATTATGCATCGAAACACATAACAAACCAATTCCAAGTTCTAGCAAACAAATTACATGTAACAGTACCCAATTTGAAGATTTGAAAGAATTTAGACACCTAAAAACAATAATATCAAATTAGATTAATACCAAAAAAGATGATAATTTATCACATTCATCTTTTTTTTTAGATTCTGAGTGGAACGATAAATGTATTGACTTTACAATGATGTGTGTTTTTTTTTATTTTTTTTTGTGTCTGTCATCATGTTTTAGGACAGTAAAAGTGATTGGATTTTCTTCAACAGTAGCTTTTCTGATAAGAAAGTGAATCTAGTTGGTACTTTGGGGGGGGATCAAAGTGAAAATTTACCAGTAGTTTTCAAAAGCGGCGTGAAAAACAAAATAAAAATTAAGGAAAAACAGGAATTTTTACACTAAAATCTGTTTTCGAAAAAATCGATTTTGGTTATTAGTGCAACTCTTAAACAAATGACCGTAGGTACATGAAATTTTGACTGAATGTTTATATTAGAATTTTCTATACACGATAACAATTTCAAAATATTTTGATTTATTTTGAACTGTTTAGGCACATTTTCATTTTCCATTTTTTTTCTAAAAATATCAATTAAATTTTATTTGTTTGTTATATTATTCTTGGGTACTTCAAATTTCTAAAGTACACTATTTTATATCTATGATAGTATCATGGTTTGTTGTTGATGTATAACGCATTATAAATACCTAATGGATATTGTGATATGATTAATTTGGAATTTATCATAGGTACCTATAATAGGTCAATATTTTTTAATACGATAGATAAGTATATAATATGTCTTATACCTAGTCTGACATACCGTCTCCGCTCAGAATCGTTTTTCTTATACAGTGACCCACTTGTAACCTTCTATAAAGCAGAGCACATTTTTATTTATACAATTATATATAAAATTCTATCTTTATCATGATGATTCTTTTATACTTTTAAAGAGACAATCAATATGTCCCAATTAAATATCCTTCAGAAAATAGAAAAGCATGTAAACCAAATATTAAACATAAAAATTAAATAATGAAGTAACGACGAGTATCCTACATTAAAAAAACTTCCTATACTATATTACATATTTTACAATAAATTATATTTAAATACAACTTTTACTTACTTATTCATTATTATTGGCAGAAGACAAACACTGGTTATGGATAATGAACCATAACCAAGTAATAATGCACGATGTGTTGGTATATGATTCCAAAAATGTGTAAAATATGCTGGTGCTAAATTTGGTAATAATATCAAACCCACGACATGAGAACCCAATATTATTACACTCACCATTCCAACATTCAAGCGTTCAGGAATCTATAAATAAATACAATTCCCTGACTATTAATTATACAAATTATCATTGTAATTTTGGTGTTAATACAGTAGCTTGTGCTGACGGGTCACCCGATTTATGTTCAGAAGAATGTTGAATCCAAGTGGAGAAAGCTTTCAGAAACAAAGCCCCCACGAGCAATACCAAACAAGGCATGTACAACCCTAATAAAACAGTTCAGCCTTTTGAAAATGTGTAATATCAATAAATTCAAGTTTGAAAAAATAATATAGATATCGTATTTTAACATTATACACAACAATATGATATTATATAATGAACTTTTATACATTTAATATTGTGCTTACCAATTGAAACGTATCTATCCGTAGAAGGTAGCAGATAAAAAAAAAATGACTGATGAAATCTTTCAAGCAGATTATTCAAGCTACGGAACATTCCTTCAATAACCCTTGAAATAAATGAGAACAAATTTAAAAATTAAAATGATATAAAAAATTTAAAATTTATAAATTTAACACGTGCATCTATCTTATGCCATACCTCCCAATTTGAAATACACTGGAATAAATGCCCCGTCCTTCTTTTTCATATCCTTCTAAAGTTATTGCTTCAATACCAAATCTATTAAAAAAATTGATGCACACGTCAATAAAAGTAAGTAATAAAATATCTGGTTAAATTTCACCTATGAAAAAGACCATGGTTACCATCGGGCACTCCAGTAGCTTGTGTCATTACCATGGACATCATTGTACTCAAATTTGTGTAATAAGAGTTGACTTTATTACGGCCAATAGCCTATTAAAAATATTAAATTAATTACATACGATAATCAAACTAAAACAAATGTGTTGTTATAGAGTTCAAAAACTAAGTACATACTCCTCCGTCAACGTTGTTAAATGTATGCTTAACAGATTCTTTGTTGCATAATCGATGAGCCAAATTCACCAAATCTAAATTGGGCAATTGGCCATTTAATCCGGACAATTTTATGTCAATGTGACCAATTTTGTCAGAGTGAATTTCCAAATTAATAGCAGCTTGAATAGCACCTGCACGACCACTTAACTTTCCAGAGTCTAACACACCTATATTGATATTTTAAATTATATTTGATTATAATTCATAAGCATGAAACTTCTAATCGAACCAAATGGTTTAGTTACCGGGTGAACCACAGGAAGTTCCGTGATACGCCTCTAACCAAGCTTGCATCCCCAGTTGCTCATGTTCAGTTACCAAAAATATAATGTCCTTTGCCCAGTAAATTTGTTCTGTTAAAAAATTTAATATTACTAGAAATGCAATTAAAAAATAATATATTTCAGTTATAGAAATGTACATACGGCGAAAGAACTGAGCAATTTGAAACATAACAGCGAGACCGGGTAGAGTACTGGGAAAAACACTCGACGGTGCTCTATATGGTACACTCAACACTATTGATTCTATACTGGCACTTCTTGGCGCTCGAAGAATACCATACACATTACGTCCAGTATATTTCTATAAAATTATTTCTTCTAATATAGGTTATTTATTGACTGACACATACTATTACATTTAATTATAATAATCGTAATAATAGGTATAATTTATGTAATAAATAATTTACGTGTTTGATTTATTGTACTTACTGTGTTCTTTTTTAAAGGATAGTTTAGTGTAAAATTGTGGGAGTAAGTTTCCAGCCGTAAGTTTTTAAATTTTGAGATCAAGTATGCATGAGGTGTTTCAGTTTCATAATGTTGTGCTTCGGCATTAAGTTCTCTAAAATGATCTCTAAACGATGACCCGGTGTTGTCATTCAACTGGCCTTTTACCAAACCAGGAAGAAGAGCGTTTTCAGAAAAATAAGTTTCTGAAAATAACAAGATATCGACATCAGTTATTTATCGCTCATTGAAAATGTATATAAAACTCACGTGAACTTAGACTGTAGTGCGCAAGCATACAGAACAGCACCACAGATACGATATACATTAGTATACAAAAACGATTGTGATGTCGAACAAATATGCTGGTCAGAGCACCATGACCGACTGACGGATCGGTCAACAGACCCATGTTGGTGAATTGGCGCTAATGTCACCCTTTTAATTCTAAAAAAGCAAAGGATTATCAACCATAGGAAAATCTTTAATATAGTTTAAATCATAAATCAAACCGATAGTTTGAATGAAATATTCTCGAAGGAGAGGGTATTATCCTCCGAAATTAAAATCCGGAAGGTACGTTCACTTCATCCTTAATAATTTAGATGTGAAAATTCGATTGCCAGAGTAACGAATAATAATAATAAGACATGTGAAGAGTAGATCAATATGTGACATCAAAAACTAAAAACAAGAAAATTTATCTAAACGAGTGTAACTCAAGTACACAAAAAAGTGAATTTTACACTTCGGTTTTTAGAGTAATAGTCGGTAGTCACGCTGAAAGAAAACAAATAATGATTATTATTAAATATCGTATAAAAAAAAAGAATTAGTTGCAGATGAGTGTCTGTACTCTTTAGTAGCCTTACAAAACTGTCGGTTTAATACTTTAAATTTATATTTTTATCACTTTGTTGTTGTTATCGATTGTGATAAAAGATAAAGACAGATGAGATAAAAAATTGTCACGGAAATCAATATTTTATTAAAGAAAATAGGAATACTGCCAATTAATGAATTAAACATTAGTACCTAATACTATACTAAATACTAAAAATTTATATTTCTTCAAATTTTTTTTCTGTACCTAATTCACAATTTTTTATCAAAATTGTAACTTCAGACGTTTATAAATAAAAATATCGTATTTTTGATACCAATTAATGTAGAACACCTCATATATACGAAGGAATTTTACCAGTTTTTCCAAAAGTATCTACTGAGAATTCTTCTTTTTTGGACTCCTCAGTTCCCAAAGTACCTAATCACGTACAATTTCCACTCCGGAAAATAGACTCAACTTCCTGAAAGACCACCAAGAATCTAAAATTATAGTGCTACGCCGCACTCCACCAGTGAGAGTAAAATGGTTAAATTGTCGGTAAAAAACCAAAAAGGACAACAATTTAAAAAATAAATACAATGTTTCTCAAACCCATAATGTATTCTTACCGCAATGGTAAATATTAAATACCCACATGTTTGATTTGTATTATTTTTATTACTTACCTACGTTCGAAGTTCATATGGGCAAGAAACTTTAATACTCAAGATTTTTTACAGGAGTCAAAAAAAATTTAATGCAAAATAACATTCATTTTCAAGAGTGTTAGACCAAATGTTAACAACATCGCATATTTACACAAAATAAAATAATGATTATGTTAGTTTATTCATTGTTATAATTAAAAACATTTTACCCATAGACCTTTGAAACATCCCACTCGCCACTAATACTTATCATTTTCCATACACTTTTTTAAATATCAATTAAGATATTATATAAACAGTAAATATTATGCACAATATGAATACATTTTTATATTCCTTCAACATTCAAAATGTATGTGTTCAATTTTTATAGTTAAGGCTTCAAAATGTAATATAAGTTTTTTTTATAGTAACCCAAAAAAATTCAATATTATGCAATACTTTACAACACCTTGAAAATTCAAAAGGGGTTATTAAGTTTTGCTCGTTATATCCAAAGTCAAACATTAAATTATTGTTTACAATGGGTGATTAATTACATTTTTAGTGTATTGTCAGTTTTAATATACTAATAATCATATTAATTAAATTTTGATAATTTTAAGACTAATAATTGATTATTTAAGAATCTACACCTTACCATTAAGAGCATCAACACTTAAACAATTATAAAAGAAGTACCTCAAGTTGGAGCTGAATTAAGGGTATTAAATAATACAGAAACAGTATTTGTTTTATATTTTTTTATTGAAAAAGTCATAACTATTATGATGATGATGTTTCCATCGCGGCTGCTGCTGCAGATTCTTCGGTGTATTTTCCTTTTCCTTTGAGAGCCAATGCTTGAGCTCTGCCTTTGCCTCTCCTGTCAAGAATCTTCTTACGGTCTTTATCCAACTTGAGTTTTACAATGACACACTAAAGAATGGTATAAAAATATATAAATTACAATATTTAACAAACAAAATAATATAAAATATAACAAGTACCTTTGAAGGGTGAATTCCAACATAAACAGTTGCACCATTAGCTTTCTCACGTTGAATCCTTTCAATGTAGATGACGTATTTCTTTCTGTACACTTGGACAATTTTGCCAACTTGTTGACCTCTGAAATGTCCTCTTACAACCTAAAAATTTGAAAAATATAGATTTAAAAGTGTAGACTAAAATATAACCATAAATAGTTCAATGTGAATGATTTAATATTATTATTTAATCAGAGCCTTAGAATTATCATTTCACAGATAAAACTCCTACGATCATTATTTCGGCTACAAGAACTGCGACCGAAAAACAATCATACTTGTTATTCGTCCGTTTCAAAGAATGGTTTTGCTTCATCACATTAATCAAAGGAAATATAATATTTAAAGCATAGACCTTTAAACTAATGAACAGCGCATAGAAATAAATCACCAGACAAGATTGTTGAGTGAGAAAAAAGAGGTTTTGGCCGTTACACAGTTTGCCAAAACATGTTTTTTCCTTCTCGGTCATCCCGTCTGAATTAACCAATGGCAAGGCAGTGTGAGACTCACTGTTAATTAGTTTATAGATCTTTGATTTTAAGAAATTAACTGGTTATACTACTTAGCATTTAAGTATTTAATCAGAGCCTTTATAATAGCATTTAACAGATAAAACTCATACAATCAGTCATTGAGCTACAAAAACTGTAACACAAGAATGCTTGTACTCGTTATTCGTCTGTTTCAAAGAATGGTTTTGCTTCATCAGTTTAAGTACTTACAAAAGTTAATTATGAAAATGGGTAGTTAAGAGAAAATATTTTTATTAATACTAAAAAGTGTATAAATTATAAATAATAAAACCTTAATTTATAAGTAAAATAATTACTTTATAGTTTATTCCCATCAAACCAAATTACTTGAAACACAATATTTAATCAGAGCCTTTATAATATCATTTAACAGATAAAACTCGTACAATCAGTCATTGTGTTACAAAAACTGGAACACAAGACTGCTTGTACTCGTTATTCGTCTGTTTCAAAGAATGGTTTTGCTTCATCAGTTTAAATACATCTGATGATTAAGAAGTATATGTATTCAAACAATTAGGTATGAATGTTATTTAAAAGAAATATACCAAGTAAAATAAGTTTTTTTTTTGAGAAGTTTTATCAATTAATCAGAGCCTTTATAATAGCATTTAACAGATAAAACTCGTACAATCAGTCATTGTGTTACAAAAACTGGAACACAAGAATGCTTGTACTTGTTATTTGTCTGTTTCAAAGAATGGTTTTGATTCATCAGTTTAAATACATCTGATGATTAAGAAGTATATGTATTCAAACAATTAGGTATGAATGTTATTTAAAAGAAATATACCAAGTAAAATAAGTTTTTTTTTTGAGAAGTTTTATCAATTAATCAGAGCCTTTATAATAGCATTTAACAGATAAAACTCGTACAATCAATCATTACATTACAAAAACTGTAACACAAGAATGCTTGTACTTGTTATTCGTCTGTTTCAAAGAATGGTTTTGCTTCATCAGTTTAAGTACATATGAAAATGAATCATCGGAAAAGGTAGCTTAGAGAAAATATGTTTAAACATGTCATATTGTACACAAATGATATAAGGATCAGTGGAGGATCTAGAATTTTGTTTTTTGGTTGTAGGGAGGGGGCATTGTTTTTTTTTCCAAGATTTATAACAAAAATGTTTAAAAACGCCAATAGAGTGGCCCGGGTCCCTCTGGCCTCCCCTTAAATCCGCCACTGATAGATATAATACTTTCAACTATTTGAAATGATATTCAATCAGTGTCATTAAAATATCATTAAACAGATAAAACTTTTACAATCAAACATTCTGTTACAAGAAGAACTTTAATATAAAAATGATTGTATAAAAGGTATTTTAATATTGTACATCATGTTTGTCCTGTATACATCCACTGTCTCAGATAGCTGAACATTTTAACTATTTTTAAACAAAATCAAAGATTTTAAAGTATTCACTAATCAATAATACCTATCACATAGGTAATTGAGTTTTGAGACGAATGAAATCTATCAAATTTCAATTTATCAGGAACATGAAACAACAACAAATTAAAATACCTTTCAGAACATGACACTGATTTAATATCTATCGAAAAGTAAATCTGTATCTCGATGAATATTGTAAAAGTACAAAATAGGTTTTCAAGTCTTAAGTTCACCGACCTGGACTTCGTCGTCTTTGCGGACGGGCATAGACTTTACGTTGTACTTGCTCCTCAGTTCTTTGGACAGAGGCGCCGACATGATGCGACGTCTGATGTGAGACGGAGCTGTGAAGTGTAATTTGCGGGACTTGCGTCTCGACGACGTTTTGTAAATGTTGAACTTCATTTTTTGGCAGGTATCTGAAACGGGAGATGTAAGAGGTAGATGATTACGAGTCACGGTTTTCGTAAAGCTAATACAAATTTGACGATTTGGTCGACCGATCAAATCGAAACCGCCACAATACTATGGAAGCGTTGACGACAGTTTCTTACGTCGAAGACTTGTAAGTATCGCGATCAAAACGGATGAAAAATTTGTACTTACCAAACTCTGCAGCGGCACTCAAAATCACGTTCAAGCGAAAAGTAGCGTAATCAGATGTTGGTAGTTACACTTACGCACTACGCTGACTAAATTTAAGGTTGTAAATACAACGCATAAGACTGATGTTGGGAACGGTCGACGACGCGATAGCCGTGATCGCCGGCTTTGGTTATAACCACGTTGAAGGATATGTATGTAATGTGGTTCGTGGTTATAACCATAGATAATAAAGATATGGATAGGCCACGCCCACGGCCATATAGATAAGTCTGGCAACTCGACAGTCTGGTCGTGCCACAGATATAAAAAAAGTATTTTTATATATCTGTGGGTCGTGCTTGTACATGGTCGGGATGTGCCGTTCGGGGGAATGCTAAGTGGCGCTATCTACATTCATAGTATAGCATTCTAAGTATTACACATTTACAACTAATTATAAATATTTCAATGAATTACTACAATCATACATATTGTTCTGTGCTACAATGTAGTTTTTTGGTCTATAACGTAAAAAGTTGTACAAAATATAGTTTGTAAGTAGATAGCGCCATATAGCATTCCCCCGGATGCGTATACACTATACATTATACAATAACGGCACACGAAAATCGTCGAGTTGCCAGACCGCCGTGTTCCACAACAATATTTTTTGGAACGTTTTATTATCATCAAAAAAACCCATATATCCCGAATAATTCTGTTTTCAAAACACGCCCTTATTAACCAAAACCCAAATAAATCATTCGGGTTAACTGGAAACCCGAATAATTTTGTTTTTTACTAACTCCAAACTCTTCATGTGATATATCATTTTTGTATATATTTCTTGTGGTGAGTTCGATTCTGCAGTTAATTGTTTAATAATAATAATAAATTAACTGGAACAATCTTACAATCAATCATAGGTAAATTTAATAATTATTTTCTTGAAAATAAAATTCAATAAGATCTATTTACCTATACCTAATATAATATAATATAATTTATTACTTTATTATAGTATATAAAATAAATCCAAATATAGCCAATGCCCAATACTCAATAGCAATATAAAATATAGACCATGGTCTCAACAAAACTGAATAAAGCATAAATCATTTTTTGGGAGGGATGGGGATCATCAAAAGCTATCTTTTTTCCGTACTACTCAACACCCGTATTAACCAATATTAACCGGCCGAATGTTTGTTTAAACTTTTTATTCCGGTGTTTGAACACCCGAATACATCCAACACCCGAAACTCGAAACCCGAATAAATGATTCGGGTGCTAAGCCCTGCTGAAATCAATACATTCATCGCACACCTCAGAATCTAAAATATAAATTAATTTAATCATAAGCCTTTTACCTACATGGACGTTCAAGTTCTATGTTCATAATATCATAATAGAATATACCGGTAGTTGTGTAATTTTCAGTAAACTGTAATAAAAACGGAAACGGCCGCGACAGGTGGGAAGTACATATATGATGCACGCACGTTTACGCTATACCTACCACACAAATTACACTCATTAAAAAAACCCGTTAATTTGCTTAAAAAAATAACTATAAGTACACACAACCACCTTCTGAAATATTTGTTTTTGATTGTTACATCTTTAAATAGAAGTGGACAGTGGTCTTTTATAAATTAAGCTACATTTTGGTTATCTGATTTTAAAAATCTTATGATACTTACTCTTATTTGAGTGTCCTAAACCTAACTTCAACTATTAGAGGATAGGTAATTATATACCCATAAAATAAAAAATAAGTTATAAAATGACCGGTATAATTATAAGACAATGATATAGGTGTATAATACATAATTATGTAAAACTGTAAAACAGAGCACAGGTGTAATAGGCGCAGTGCGCACTATAATAGGTGAGTTGATGTATGTGTTAATTGGTATAAAGAGTCGATATAAACTTACATAAACCTTTTTAATTTTTTCAGTGGCATGACGATATTAGTTTTTATACATTTTTTTTTTTGGGGGGGGGTGAGGCTTCAACTACTAGGGTTATTAGCCTGTGGGACTGTAGGGGATGGAACACTTGTGTGTTTGGTAGATTTAGTGGGCATCCGTTGTAGGTATCCGCCATGCCCGGGTGGGCATGCCGTGACTTCCCGAAGAAAAGTGCCAGCTGCGGCCGGGAATCGCAACCGACGCCTTAGCCTGCTCGGCAACTCCGTCCCCCAGTTTTTATATTAATTTCTAGTAATTACCATAAATATGAATAGGAACATTTTATAGGTATGATTAATTATAGAAGTAAGTACATACTACATATATTATGTATAGATAACAAAATTATATTCTTATAGAGTTGATTCTCTTTTTGATCTTAAATTGTATCTTATTATATTTTAACAAAAAACAGACAATTGGAAGTACCTACTAACTATATATTGACTAACAAGTAATAATAATAATAATATTATACAACGATAGGTAGGTATTGGTACATTATTTGTTCCAGATATTCAGTAGGCAATGTTAGTAGTCTCAAATACCTACTGAAATATGAATATAATATAGACCATTTTAAGTATTAACTATTAAGTATAATATAATACCATACCTATAGGCTATAATTAATATAATTGATATAATAGTCTAAAACAATACTACAGTTGTAAAACAAAATACAAATACAATTTAAATAGCCAATAAAGATTAAAGTCGATTAGTCGATTTAGAAACGAACTTCATTGAGCCTGAATCTTACATTTTAATAACAATATATGTCTATATCTAAGGACTTAACTATATTTTATAACAAAATCTCAATACAAGACTATACTTTCAACAATCAGTTTCAGCGATCTGAGCATCCACTCGAGTGCCACTCGCTGTATCTAAAGCGGTCGCGACCACTTCTCCTTGACCACAAAATCCTATTTGTACCAACAGTTCTTTTGACAGTTGGACGTCTTCGTTTCTCGTCAATTTTAAGGAACCACACTTTGACACTCCGTCGTCCGTAACGAACTTATTAAGAAAACGAATAACAAATAATAATGAATTAATCATCGAGTAACATTAAATTATTTAAGTTCACACAATAATCTATAGTTTTCATATTTCTAAAACGATCATATAATATTATAATATAATACTCGCTTACCTTTGCAGATAGATTATGAACTAGGTATATATTGATTACGATCGAATCCTGAGAAGAGTTCGCGGGAGTGTATTTTTTTATGACCGTCTCATTATCCCTAATACAATCGTTTTCTTCGATGAGGTAATCCAGCAAGTCTGTACACCAACGCTTGCCGTCTTTTATGACGAGTTTTTCTGAAATTACATTGTAGGTATACAATATTGGTATTGTCATATTTTGTCAATAAGCAATCGAAATGTATAAACTATAAAGTATTAAAGTATTAAGAGGACGCTATACCCGCATGTGTTGTCTCCGTCTTACAAATGTACAACATATCAAAAACTATTTTGCGCGGGAAAGAACCGAGAAGGCTACAGTCATAACTAAGAAACGAAATTTTCACCACATAAAAAGGAGAACTATATGGCTGTGCAACGTTGTTTTTATTTTTTTGATATCACTTATATGAAAAAAGTTCTTACTGTTTAAAAAACCGTTATTGTTTGTGTTTTTCAAACTTGAAAAACTTTTTTCGTTTAAATGATATCAAAAAAATAAAAACAACGTTGCACAGCAAAGTTCTTCTTTTTATGTGGTGAAAATATCGTTTCTTAGTTATGATTGTAGCCTTCTCGGTTCTTTCCCGCGCAAAACAGTTTTTTGCTATGTTGTGCATTTGTAAGACGGAGACAACGCATGCGGGTATAGCGTCCTCTTAAGGTGTCCCAGGCCCCAACACTGGTGCACCGTAAAATTTATCCCGTTCAATAACTTTTTGTAAATACATTTTTAAATACTAAATAGCAAATTTTCAAATACTTAGATATTTAAATATAGTAATATTATGTTATATGTCAAGTATATTATATATATATACATACATATATTATATTATATATAGGTACTAATATACTAAAATATTCAACGCATGTCCTGTATACCATTGAGTGGCGATACAAGTTTATTTTTTCAAATAAGAACATTAAGAATCCACCATTTCAGTTACTGTATGTTACTATGTTAAGCTGATGATATTTTTAAAACACGGTGGGACGTCCACGGCTGCAGCATGTACTGTGCATAATGTATTCATAATATAATTTTACTACACGACATATTATAAGGTATAGGTATTATTTAATATTGTGAAAACCGTTTAATCACAATTTGCACAAAATCCCCGCAACAAGTAGGTACCTATCATGACTAATATATTCTTACCGATTGGATGAGTGTTGTCGACGAATGGTTTAATTATGCCCACGGCGTAACTGTGTTTGGCTTTGTACGCCGGAGTATCCGACCTATTCAAGTCGTACATGACGGCCCCCCGGAGTACGCTGACAAAGGCCATTTCGGGTAAAATTATTTTTAAACGGTCGCTAAAACGCTCGGTGATCTTTTCTTGGAGCCACAACGACTGAGAGTAACCTCCGACCAAAAACATGTGAGTGACTTTTTGGTCTTCGGTTACTATGTTGTTGATTTGCTAAAAACATGTATATATATATTTATATAACAATATTATATCAAATATGGAATAAAAAAAATGATGCGTGTGACGTGCGACTATATACCGCAAAATATGTCGTACGCAATAACAACAAGTGTGCTTACTTCTGAGATGCAAGCAAAGCTTGGCAGAAAAAGCGGCTCGATGGCCAAATAGTGTAAAATGAAAACACCGTCCAGTTCAT